AGGAAGGGTCATGAGCCTAGGACTACAGGCAGCTTCTAGAAACTGGGAGAGGCCAAGGGAATGGATTTGGCCCTGGAGCCTCCAGAAAGAATACAGCCCTCCCAGCACCTTGACTTTAGCCCAGTGAAACCCGTGTCAGACATCTGGTCTCCAGAACTGTTAAGGTAATAAATATATGTTGTTTTAAGCTGTTAAGGTTGCAGTGATTTGTTACAGTAGCAACATGAAACTAATACATGGGGCAGCTTCCCTGAGCCTGCTATTGGGCAATGGGATTTCAAGGCCCTCCTACTACTGTACTCTTAGCAGTACTGACTTAGACCCACCGGGGACAATCCTGTAGTTTCCAGAGACCTGGTCCAGCTCCATGTGTAGACAAAGTCTGGGGACTTACCTGCCTCATTCTGCCTGGACCCATTGCAGCATCTGAAACTCTCACTGCTCTGAGCATCTCAAGAGCTCCATTCTTATGTCCACGTGTTGTCTCAAAATGGGGGACGTGGAGCCTCCTCTACCTAAAGCCCCTTGATGCTATCCCATCAAGATCCAGAATGAAGTGGGCCCTGCCCACCCCTCCAGCCTCATCTCCCTCCACCCAGTGCACAAGCCATGCTGAACATGTCTCAGGGCCTTTGCACATACTATTCCCTCTTCTTCCAAGTGCTTTTCCTCACCCTCTTTACTGGGTCAGCTCCTCTTTATCCTCAGGTCTCAACTCATTGGTCACTTCCTTGGAGGCCCCTTCTTGACGGTTCCTGTCCCTCTCTTCTGCATTCTCCTGGCTGCCTATACTTGTCCTTCAGAGAACTTACTATGAGCGTGATTATGATGATCTATGTGATGAATTCAGTAATGCCCGAGCCCTCTCTGCAATGCCAGCTCCACGCAGGCAGGGACTCACCTGTTTTACTCCCTGTTGGGTCTTCATTGTCTACTTGGCACATGGCAAGTGCTCCATAAATATTTGAATGAATGAGTAGCGCATCTGCTTCCATTTGGATAGCAAGGTCAGGCCAAGTTGGGAATCCACTTCCCGCCACCTCCAGGGGGGTTGTCCGCTGAGGCCCAGAGGAGGAGATGTACCCTTTCTGGTGCTTCTGGGAGCATCCTGGGAAATGGGAGATGTCACGGAGTAAACAGCAGCTCCCCTTAAGCACCCAGCCTGGTGATGGATGTGTTTCCTGGATGCAAGGCATGAGTGGTAGTCATAAAGTTAATCGGGCATGTAAAGACATAACTAGAAAGTGACAGCACGTACGGTGTCCAGTTAATTGGGCTCTTAATGTGGACGCATTAGACTGGCAAACAAACCAGGCTGCTGATACAGAGAGGGCCTTCTCTTAGGCATGGAGGGACCTTCTATTTCAAGACACCAGGGGAAGTCTTGGTGTTTCAGCCTCAGGAAGTGAGACTCCCTGACTGCTGCCTGTGGGAGGAAGCTTGAGCTGCAACTCATCTAACCCCTCACAGTAAAGTCTGGGAAAAGGGCCCCCAGAGAACAGAGGCTTTTCAAGCCTGTTGACTGGAGAGAAGATAGGATTCAAACCCACGTCTTTTAACCCTGCCTTACCTGCTCTCGATCTTCAAAAATGCACTTTCTCTTCTAATATAAAGGCAACACATGTTCATGGTGGGAGGTTAAGGAAGCATAGGGGAGGCCACCTCATCGGGCGCTTGAGGAGGGAGGGAGACAGAGGCATTAAAGAAGGAAAATTTAAAAAAAGAAGGAAATAAATGTTACTTATAATCCCACCACCCAGTAATTCTCACTGTGAATATTTGGGTGTGTTTTCTTTCTAAATTTTTTTTTGTCTAGTACACATCATGAGGAGATTCAGATGAGCATGTTCCAAATCCCAATTCACACCCTGACTACAGTTCTACATCCTGGGTTTTTTGGGGGGGTGTCTTTTTCCCCCTTTAACATAATAAGGAGAGCATTTTCCCATGCAGTTTGCCCTACCGCCCCCTTCCTTCCTTCAGCCCTTCCCGGAGTGTGGCCAGGAATTCACCAGCATCAGGATCATTCAGGGAGCCGCTCCGAAATTCAGATTCCCAGGCCCTGCCGCAATCCCACAGAATCATTGTCTGCATGCTGAACACTCTCCCAGGGTGATCTAGAAGCACTGTGAATTTTGAGAACCCCCCCTCCCCCCCGTGCAGTGGCTCCCCACAGGGCTGCACACTCTAATACTGCTCACGGGGCTTCAGCAGACCCATAGCTGACGAGGTTGAGAGTCGGGGCTCCGTGCCTCGGTATTCTTTTCGAAGGCTCCCTGGGTGATTGACATGCGCGGAGGGTTGCAGGCATCCTGAAGGATAGAGCACACATAGAGTGTGCTCCTGCCAAGACTGGTAAGAACAAACATTCCTTCTGGGGTAAAGAAACCGAAATGTTTTATCACCGGGATAAATACCCATCTGTGATTTTGACTTAGCTTCCTGCAAAGTTTCAGTTCTAAGTTTATGACCTTTGGCTGTGGCAGCTGTCCGTGTTGAGGTCCTAGCACGGGAGGCCGCAGAGAGGGTGTCCTCATGAGTGGGCTGCAGGAAAGATCTTGGAGCAGCGACGAAGGTGTGCTCTTCCCAGCCCACGCGTGCTTCTATGCTTATTGGTCTTGGCCAAATTCACAAATAACGAGGGTCCCCAAGCTGAGACATCTGAATAATGATCTTAAATCTGTTGTTTTTCCATGCCATTTGCTCTACGATAGGAGCTAATGAGACACTCCCCGTACAAGGCCTGTTAATGGGGCCTTTCGGCATTTAGGAGTGAACAGTGCAAGGAACAGGCATCTGGGTGGAGGCTCAGAGTGTGGGTTTTGCAAGCGGTGAGTGAATCCATGGCCTTGATTTTCCAAGAGGAGGCAGGAAAGCCTCTAAGCCTCCTGAGCAGAGCGCACTATAGTTTAAAATTGGGTCATCTGGCCTGGGCTGTCTTCCTGAGGCTTGACCTGAGGCGGGAAGCCAGGAGGGTTTCATGGAAAGCAAAGATGATTTCCTGACCCAGAGAACTAGATACTCACCCTCACTGAACAGCCCCAGGCCAGCCCCTCACCCTCTCTGTGCGTTGGGACCTGCCCTGCTAGAGTGAGAAGAATAAAATCTAACCATTGCCTGGCTAGGGCAGTGGATGAAGGAAGAAATCGGTAAAATAGGAAAGTGTGTACAATAAGAATGTCACCATGCATTTACCATCCCACGCCTCCATCAGCTCGCCTCATTGTCTCATAATATTTTATAATTCTGTGGCATTGAAAGGCATCCTGAAGTTTACCTGCTCTGGACAATTTCAGGCCATTTCTTTAAACTGCAGCTTTCCAAAGGAAGTCTAATTCAACAGCCTAAACAAACAAAAGTGATAAATGCCAGCATGCTGTGGATGAAGGAGGGTTTTCTGAACCCTCAGAATCACCCCCCACCCCACCACTACAGTGGGTGGCCCCTAAACTGGCTCTAAGGAACCCTGGGATGCCATAAAGCACAGTTTGACAACCACCGATTCAGCGTTAACACCTTCTGTTTTACAGATGAGGAAATTGAAGCCCAGAGAGGCAAAATCCAGGGCCAAACTGCAGATTTCTCAACCCTACATTGAAGGCTTTTCAGGGAAGCAAAATGATGGGGCAGCTGTTGGGTGTCTTGTCCCAAGCTCAGGGAAGTGAGAGGCAGAGGGACAGAACCAGCCGGGGTAACGGGGTGTGTGTAACTTGGTGCTTACCAATGACTGAAGGTCTCCCTTGGTGTGGGGACTGCAGGGGCGGGACGAGCAGAGTGGAGATCAAACAGTTCAAGAAGATCCCCATGGCTCTGCCCGACACAGAGCAGGAGGGTGGAATTACAGTTAAGAACAGGGACTCAGGACAGACTGTGCCTGGGTCTGGATCCCAGCTTTCTCCACCTCCCCGCTGCGTGACTTGAGTAAATCACTTAACCTCTCTGTGCCTCAGTTTTCCCACTTGGAAAATGGGCACAAGAATGATGCTCAGCGTATTGTGCTGTTGGAAGGACTCATTAAGAAGATCCAGGTGAAGTGCTTAGGTCTGTGTCTGGCACATGGTAAGTGCTCTGTAAACACCAGCGACTTTTACGCTAGGTGTTCTGAGACCGTGGACTGGGGCTTGCACCTGGTGACTGCCCCCACCCATCATCCTATAAAAACAGTTTCTAGGGAGAACCCAGGGAGGGAGAGGGAGGGAAGAGGAGGAGGAGGAGGAAGGAGAGGGCCGCCTCTGGCTCTGCACATCCTGCCTCCCGAAGCGCTCTGTCCGATCTGGGTCACAGCCGAGGCTCTGGAGCCTGCAGGCAGCTCTTGGCTCGCCCTGGGGCAGAACGGCTCTCCTGCGAATGAAGCACAAAGGGAGAAGCTGCTATTTATAACATTGCTAGTCAGAACACTTTGCGGGGATGGCGGGAGCGAGGAGGGCCTGTGGGGAGAGTCTGTATCAGGTGGCTGCCAGGCAGGGCTACCAGGGACCTTCTAGAGCCTGTGATCCCTGAATTGCCTCCCAGCGGTTCTCATGCCCCTGGTGCCCGAAGCTGGAACCTGGCCCGTGGAGGGGGTGGGGGGGGCAGGGTCCAGCTCCATCCTGAGAATGGGAGCAGGTGTGCTAGGGATGGGGCTGGAGAAGAGCCAAGTTGAAGAGCAGCTGCAAGTAAACTTTGAGATGCCCACGAAGACATCCAAGGGAAGACGTCAGGTAGACAATTAGATAAACAGAGATAACGGGAGATAGAAAGTCTAGAGAAGGTGTTTAGTCCGCGGTCAGTCCGCAGTCAGTAGAAGAGGTGGGAGATATGGGACATGGGTCTGCAGTGGTCTGAAAATGTACCAGAATTTCATCTACGCGTGCCTTTTTCTGGGGAAGGATCCAGCAGTTATCATCAGACACTCAGGAGCCCACGACTCAGAGAAGGGTAAGACCATCAGCCTGATACTGTGGGAGATGCTGGTGGTCCCTGGTCCTGTAAGGCCCTCATGATTCTCCCTCTGCTTCCAGGCGCCTGGTGGACCGTCTGGAGAACATGAGGAAGAACGTGGCCGGGGATGGGGTGAACCGCTGCATCCTGTGTGGAGAACAACTGGGGATGCTGGGCTCCACCTGTGTGGTGTGTGAGGACTGTAAGAAGGTACCATCACCCTCCTCTTCCCTGCTTCCCTGCTCTTCTCATGCACAGGGCTAGGCCTGGGCTCAAGCCAGCCCTGGGGGGCCCTGGGTCTTGGGGACGGAGCTTGGATCCTGAAGGGTAGTTGCCAGCATATGATTCCTTTGGGGGTGCTCCCATGCCCAACTATCTTCTAGGCAACCCTGATTCTGGTTCCTCTCCTAGAAGATGCTCTGACTCTTCTGTCCCCTTGGAGCTCAGCTCCATCTAGAATGAACTTGGGAGCCTGAGGTAGGACTTGAGCTATGATTGAGCCTCCAAGTATCCTGGTTGTGGCTTAGCGAGTTATGTGTCAGGCTCAAGAGCATGCCAGGCAGGTGTCTACATCTGTGTGTACATGGAAGGTTTACCCAGCATCCTCTTACCCTGGCTTAGAAAGCCCCTCTCCAGCCAAGTTAGAGCCATTGGGCTTCTTGAACATTCATTCTTGAAGGCGAGTCTCCCTGTGCTCCCTCCACCCTGCACCCTCCCCTCAAGCTGTCGGCACTTGATGATTCCAGGACACGGATACAACTGCCCTTGGGTCTGCCCAATTCCCAGGAAAGGAATTCAGGGGAACACCTGAGCTGGAGACATCCATAATGTCACTTGGCATCTCCTGCTTGGAATCCCCCTTAGCATTTAGAGTACAGTATTGGGGAAAGTTTATCTAGGCTAAAACACTTACTCTGCTGCAGTCAACCAGATAGTGAAAATTTCGTGACCTGTTAGGTTTTCCTTTTTGTCTTGACTGCCAGGCAACTCAGCCAAAAGTATAACATTCTAACCATCACACAGTCATAGCTTTTATACAGGTAACTTTCTTCTTGGAGAGCTGAACCTGCAGCCATAGGCTATGTTAGGTCAGATTCATGCGGGAAAGAAGAAATAATGAACAAATAAATATGTGACCTCTCCTCTTGAAAACTCATGTCAGCGATCTCCCCTGTGTGGACACTGAAAACACAGACCCCACAGGGACTCTTGGAGAACTCAGGAGAATTCACTCATCCAGTGCCGGGGAGTGACTCCAGTTCTTGTTATTGGAAATGAAGACTCAGATTGGAACTTTAATCCTAACTGGCCTTGGTCATGGGAGGGAGGTGAGAAAGAGTTCAAGCTCTTTACATCCACCAAGAGAGAATGGGGCTCAGTTGCCACCCTTCCCAACCCCTTCGCCCTGATCACTGGCAGCTCAGAGCCTGGCATATCTGAGTGTGCCCTGGACTATATTTTGTCCCCAGAATGTCTGCATCAAGTGTGGGGTGGAAACCTCCAGTAACCGCCCGCATCCCGTGTGGCTCTGCAAAATCTGCATTGAGCAGAGAGAGGTGAGTCGATTGGTCCCACCTGGCTTTTGGGACACCCTTCCTTGTTTGGGGCACCCTTCCTCACTGTAACCAGGGAAACCGGGTGGCAGTCGAGGGCTGGGGAACCTGACTAGGTATATGTCCTAAGGGATTGGTAAAAAGGAGCCAGCTCAGCGGTGAACACTGGCAGAACAGTCCATGACGTTTGAAAGAATTTCTTTTCTCCTGCTTCCGTGACTCTTCTCTTCCTCGAAGTAGGGAGCACACCATATTTAAGAGGTGGAAGACTTGGAGTCCACTTACTGTCCTTCCACTCTCTCACTGGGTAACCTCATACCAGTTCATCACCTTTCTGATACTCAACTTTCTCCATCAAGAAAATGGGTCTACTCAGGCCCTGCCTACTGAGTGTTTGGGGATATTGTGTGAGTCAAGTAAGAATTGTGGCAGGCTCCGTACTGTGGGCAGGGAGCAAAGTTAAACAGTGGCACTCGTGAAGGCAGGACTCTTAGTGATTGGCTGCCGTGTCTTCATCCTCTCCCTCTCTTCCCCTAGGTGTGGAAGCGTTCCGGAGCATGGTTCTTCAAGGGCTTCCCCAAACAGGTCCTCCCACAGCCTATGCCTATAAGGAAGACCAAGCCCCAGCAGCCTGTCAGTGAGCCTGCTGCCTCTGAGCAGGTCACCCCTGAGCCCAAGCATGCTGCCCGGGCTCCAACCCGAGGTAGGACAAAACACCTTCTCCTTTTAGGACCAAAAACAGATCTTGGCTAACTGGTCTACCCAGAGGATGTCCTAACATGATGTCTTATGTTTCTATCCAGCTGGTGAACAGCCAGCCTCTGGGCTTGGGTTTAGGAACCCTATATCCTCTGCACAGCTCACCATGAACCCTTATCAAGAGGGTAGCACAGGAAACCAGTATGGAGCTTCCTCAAAAAGTTAAAAATAGGGCTACCCTACAATCCAGCAGTCACACTACTGGGTATTTACCCAAAGAATACAAAAACACTAATTCAAAGGAGTACGTGTACCCTTATGTTTATAGCAGCATTATTTACAGTAGCCAAGGTATGGAAGCAGCCTGTGTCCACCAATTGATGAATGAATAAAGAAGACATGGTGGATATAAATATAGATATACACACAATGGAATATTATTCAGCCATTAAAAAAAGAATGACATCTTGCCATTTACAACAACATGGATGGAGCTAGAGAGTATAATGCTAAGTCACTCAGAGAAAGACAAATACCGTATGATTCCACTCATACGTGGAATTTAAGAAACAACAAACGAGCAAAGGGAGAGAGGGAGAGAAACCAAGATAGTCTTTTAACCATAGAGAACACACTGATGGTTACCAGAGGGGAGGAGTGAGGGGATGGATGAACTAGGTGAGGGGGATTAAGGAGTGCACTTGTCATGATGGGCACAGGGTGTTGTATGGAAGTGTTGAGTCACTGTATTGTACGTCTGGAATGAATATAACACTTCACAGTATATTGTAATACAGTAACACTATTGTATCGTATAGTGTAATATGGTAACACTATTGTATAATGGTGGGATTAAAATTAAAACTTTTAAAAAAAGAGAGGGTAGCACAGGAAACTCTCCAGCAATGCCAGGCTGCCAAAAGCTTTCGTTGTCATCCCTCATGGAGTATTTAGAGGTACAAGAGATGGAAATTAAAATTAGAAACTGAGAGACTCTTATCACCACAATACACACTGGGGCCTGAGGGTGACTTGCTGGGAAGGCCTTCCTTGTCCCTGCAACTTCTTCTATCAACCATCTCCTGTATCTGAAATGGTACTAATTAAAAGTGAAAGATGAGTAGAAGGGAAATTACCAAAAGAAAATTACCACGGCTATGGATATTATCACTCTTATCCAAGTATTACTATTAATTACTAAAATGACGATAAAAGGGAGAGGCAAAAAAGTAAAAAGAAGAAAAAAAGCAACTACAATGCAAACGTATTTTAATTGGTGAGACCAATGGGACTGACCTCAGAAGAGGCCCTTGTCATAATCTCAGTTAACACTAAGTGATAAAATCTGGTCTGAACGTCAGTTCTGGAGTTGAGTGCAGGCAATGCTTCTGAAAGGTAAGTTGTAGCTGAAGGTCTCAAAGGTCGAAATGTCCAACTTTGTCTCCCGTGAGATGACTTCTAAAGGTGTGCAGTCTGGTGCCTGGCACTGAAAAGGCATCCACCAAATGCTTTCTTCCTGACATGGCGCAAGCAATGTCTATTCCTTGCAGAGAATTACCGAATTTTCAGTATATACCGTGTCCCCAAGGAGCCCCCAGTGTGACCCCAGAACATCCTTCTTCCTGGTTAAGCTTTCCCCCCTGTAGCCTGAGAAGACTGCACAGCCTCACCATCAAGATCTAGGACATCTGAGACCAAGAGGACCTGAATCTCAGTTCCAGCTCTGCACATCGCCTAGCCCTCTGAGACTCTTTCCTCATCTGTGAAATGGGGTTAATAACTCACTGGGTTATTCTGAAGATTAAATGAGATGCTAGATGGGAGGTGCTTTGCAGAATGTAGCACTTAGTAAATATTGACCAATATTAAATAATGTTAAAGACACAGACACACACATAAATAGTATGAATTAGCTTATCAGATATACTCTGGACAAAGCAAATAACCCCAAAACTATGCTTGATATAACACCTATTCATATCACTAGAAAGAATTAACATCAGCAGCATTGCATAGTGACACATGAAAAATTATTGGTAGTAACATCCAGTGCTGGTGAAGGTGGGGGAAATGGATACTTTACAAACTGTTGGTAGGATTATAAATCACCTCCAGCCTTTTGGAAAGTGTTATGGCAGAATTTATTAAAATTTGAAGTGTACGTGCCATTTGATCTGGCAATCCCTCTCTGGGAATATATCTAACAGCAATAAAAGGACCAATATAAATAGATACATGTGTAAGTATATTTATTGTATCATTATTTATGGTAGCAGAACCCCTGGAAAACCCTAAGTGTTCATTAATGGGATTATTTAATGGATTATGGTATAGCCACACCGTGCTATATTAGGCATCTTTTATAATTGAACGATGGAAATGTATATTATAGATTTGGAATTATGCCCACGATAGAAGCTTTCGATATTCTTTTAACAAACCCTTACTGAACACCCAGTGAGTTCCAGACTCTGTTCTGCCCTAGGAATACAGTGTTAAGTGGAACAGACAAAATCCTTGCCCTCACACAGCTAAAATTGTCCTGGGGAGAACAGATACTCAACAAACAAGCACGGGCAAATACCATGTAATACCAGATAGTGATGGTGTCCGGAGGACAGATGAAGCGGGTAAAGGGGACAGACGTGCCAGGAGGCTCCATGTTGGACAGAATGGTCACAGAAGGGCTGTCCAAGGAGCTAGTATTTGGGGGGAAGGGTAGAGAGGGCTCATGGAACATTTGGGAATGTCACGTGCAAAAGGACTTGAGGTTGGAGCATGCCTGGTGAGTCCTGGCAAGTGAACAGAGAACATTCTAGAACGGTTTGTACGATCATTGGCTAATAATCCCAATTTGTTCTTTTTAAAGGCTTGTGCATGCTCACACATGCTCGTGCACACAAAGGAAATCATGTGAAATAGTAAATGGGAGCTACCTCACAGGGGATGTTGGGAGAGGAGACTTCCAGTTCATTTTGTAAAAGTTCTTAAGAGTGGTACTGGGCCCTTCTGTGTGTTCCTTAAGCGAGGGCTCTCCAGAAACTGTAAAATAAGGACTCCCCATCATTTCTCTCTCTCTCTCTCTCCAGGTGACACTGAAGACAGGAGGGGCCCAGGTCAGAAGACAGGTGGGTTCTGCTGACTCAGTCTTCTATTTTGGGACAGGAGCCCTTCTATCCTTCTATCCCATCCCTCTGATGCCCTTTCTCCATTTAACACGTGCTTTTCTCTCCAGGTCCTGAACCGGCCTCTGCTCCCGGGCGAGGAAGCTATGGGCCTCCCGTGCGCAGGGCCTCTGAGGCACGCATGAGCTCATCCAGCCGGGACTCAGAGAGCTGGGACCACGGCCACAGTGGGGCTGCCAGTGACTCCAGCCGGAGCCCAGCAGGTAGGAAACATGGGCAAATCCAGACAGGCTTCCTGGATGAGGAGAATCCAAAGGATTGGGGGTGACAATGTTTTAATCCATGTATTCATTCAGTATTTATTGAGCATCTATTGCATGCCATGTTCCGTTTTAGATGTTGGTTCTAGTCTAAGGTAGAGGAAAGACAACTCAGAAACAATTCTGACTCTAGACATCCGTATGTTTGGTTATACCCATTTCCTGCTCTAATGCCAAATGTCAGGAAAACGTAGGGGTTTTGCCTTCCTCCCTGGAAGCCCTGAGGAAAATGCAACTTGCCTTTGAGCAAAGTCGGGACACTTCCCTCTCACAGACCCACCCAAGTTCTTTGTTCTCTTCCTTGGCCAGTGGCCTCTGCTGTCCTTGAGGATGGGGTGGTTCAGCACGGCCAGGATGTCACTCATAGCTGCTCTTGGCTCGCTGGTGCCCAGCCCCTCTGGCTGCACTCATGGGGGATTTATTTGCCAAGAGTGCCCACCGTGGGAGTCCTTGATTCCTGGACTTTGGGAAAAATGTCTACTGGATGGGAGAGACCAAAGCTCCCTACCTCCTGTGTGAGCCCTCAGAGCCACTTCATTTCCTTTGTAACAAGGGGATGAGACTGTGTCCAAAGTTAGATGGGCTAAATATTCAGGTCCCATGGTGACCTCTGGCTTCTCTTCTTCAATAGTGGGTCTGTAGCTTAGGCCTGTAGTCCCTCTTCTTCTTGGCGAGAGGGCTGGGCCCATACCTTGTGCTTAATCCACTGTGCACACCCCCTAATGAACCTATGATTCAGATTCATAGAGCAAGAAGAATTTCTCAGCTCTGCAACATCATATGGAATATTTGTTGTGTACTTACTATGTGCCAATGCTGGCTCAAGCTCTTCACGTAGAACATCTCATTTAATCCTTGTCACAACCCCAAACCCTGTTATGAAGACCTCTACGCGTCCCATTTCACAGATGGAGAAACTGAGTTCAGAGAAGTGATGCCACTTGCCCTAGGTCACACAGCTGATCATTGGTTCAAATGGAAATTAAACCCATGTCTATCCAACATCAAAGCTTGTGCTTGTTTTTCTCTTCCAGAGGTGAACTTTTTATTGACAGTGCTTTTTTTAAACATCTTTTTAAATGGTGGTAAAATATACTTAATATTAAATTTACCATTTTAACTATTTTTAAGTCTACAGTTCAGTGGCCTTAAGTGCATTCACACTGTAATGCAACCATCACCACTAACCATCAGCAGAGCCATTTCATCCCAAACTGAAACTTTTACCCATTAAACAATTCTGCATTCCATTTCCCCCCTTCCCCAGCCCCTGGTAACCACTAACCACTAAGGATTTGCTTATTCTTGACATCTCATATAAATAGAATTACACAATATGTGGCCTTTTGTGACTGGCTTCTTTCACTGAGCATCCTGTGTTCAAGGTTCATTCATGTTGTGACTTGTATCAGAACCTGAATTCCTTTTTAAGGCTGAAAAATATCCCCTTGCATGGATAGGCATTTTATTTATCCATTCATCTGTTGATGGACCTTTGGGTTGTTTCCACCTTTTGGCTGTTGTGAATAATGAATGTTGGTGTGCAAATATCTCTTTGAGTCCCTGCTCTTAATTTGGGGAGGGTCTATACCTAGAAGTAGAATAGCTGGATCATATGGTAATTCTATGCTTAAGTTTTTTAGGAACCACCCATCATGGGTTCTACAGCAGCTTCACCAGTTTACATTCTCACCAGAAATACACAAGGGTTCCAGTTTCTCCACATCTTCACCAACATTTGTATAGTGTGTGTGTGTGTCCATCCTAATGCATGTGAACTGGTATCTCATGTTTCTGATTTCCATTTCCTTGATGATTAGCGATGTTGAGCATCTTTTCATGTGCTCATTGGCCATTCGTATATTTTCTTTGGAGAAATGTCTATTCAAGTCCTTTGCCCATTTTTTTAATTGGGATGTTTGTTTCATTATTGTTGAGTTACAGGAGTTCTTTATATATTCTGGATATTAATCCCTTTCCAGATCTATGATTTGTCAATACTTCCTCCCATTCTGTGGGTTGCCCTTTCGCCCCAGTGATAGTGTCCTTTGATGCACAAAAGTTTTTAATTTGGGGGCACCTGGGTGGCTCAGTCGTTAAGCGTCTGCCTTCAGCTCAGGTCATGATCCCAGGGTCCTGGGATCGAGCCCCGCATTGGGC